ACTTTTCAGTATCTATTTCATTTTATATAATTAATATCTAACTTTCAGATTAACTGCAGCTATTTTCAGATAGTCTTCCTGAAAAACAAAAAGGTTAATCACAACAAACATTTTCTTTCCTTGTATATGGGGGTGAAAGGGTCAAGAATAAGGAGATAAGGTGACAGCAGAAAAATGAAAACGTTTAAAAGCCACTGCACAATAGAAATGATTTTTCCTAAAGGTATGTTTAACTAGTTTTTCTCCATCCTTTTAATTGAATAGAGACATTTTAATAATACATGTTAACAGGTGGAAAGGAAAGGGTTTTGTTTGGCTCACTTCCCTTTAGATTGTTTAAAAGTGGAACAACCACATGTTGTTCCAAACACAATACATGACTTTGCTTTTGCCTAGACCTCAATGAAGGCAATTCAAAAAGAAAAATACAACATTCCTGTTTCCATTTTCCCTAGCAGTCTCAGCTCTTTCTGGATGAAATCAGTTTCTCAAGGGACGTCACCTTCACAATTTGGGAAACAATGCTCTAGATACGAAACAAAATGAACACAATGGAAAACCAGCAGCCATTTGTTTTTCCACATGGGAGAGTTAGACTGTACAACATTGTTTTCATTACAAAACCAAGTTACTATTCAGAACTGTAGATTAACTCTTTGTAATACAAATAACTTCAGGTTCAGATAATAAAATAAAGAAAAAACCGAAGTCCCTTATTTCAAGCACTCTCTGAAACAAAACTAAAGAACCAAGATAATCCAGTCAGATACTATAGGTTTGTGATTAAATTAGACTTAAAAAAAATTTATGTGGAAAGTAAATAACATATAACTCAGTCAACATATTAATAAGCATGCATGGTGATGTTTATTACTTGCTATACTGTCCTTCAAACACTTTCAAGTACTTTAAACGAAGGCTCAGCAAACTACAGCCCATGGGCCAAATATGGCCCACTGCCTGTTTTTGCAAACAAAGTTTTGTTGAAACACAGCCACACTCCTCTGGTTACAAATTGTCCGTGACTGCTTTTGTGCTACAATTGCAGAGTTTAATAGCTGCGCCAGAGACTGTATGATTTTTAAAGTAAAAAATATTTACTATTTGGCCCTTTACAGAAAAAGTTTGCAATCTCTGCTCTAAACCATTAGGTTCAGAACTTAAACATTCTTAAGAAATACCTGGACAGCTTGTTAAAATAGTTCCCTGGGATCTATCTCTTCAGAGATCATGATTCAGCAAGTTGAGGTGGGGTCCATGAACTTGCATTTCCAACAAGCTTATAAGCTGCTGGTTGATGAATTAAACTTTGAGAACTACTGCTCTAAACCATCTCATATAACCACAGATTAACAATGACCATAAATGTCCAAATTCTGTAAAATAGGCTAGCTGTCACAAAATGAAAACTGAGGCATAAAAGAGGAGATAGATCTCTTGATTTATACAGAATTCTTGGTGGCTAAGAAAGTACAACTGGTTGCCATAATCATCAGACAATTCTTCAGCCCCTCATCCTAACACTAATTCACTGTGAATACTGGAAATTCAACAGGGACCAGCAGGAGCCCAGTATTTTCTTTGGAGAAGCTATAAAACACATTTTATAAACAAAAACAAAAACAAAAGCCAAGACATATGCAGCCATAATCTAGTACTTGACTAGACTATAAACTTACATACTAAAGTACAATGTTTGAAAAAAATCTAACACATAGTTTATAATCCAATGGTCCAATCCAAACATGAATTCTTTCACTTCATATAAATAGAAATGATTAAAAATCAAATTATTTAAAAAAATTCTTAAAAACAGGTGTAGAGCTAATATGGGAAAGAAAATAGAGGATGACAACTGATATATTTTATTGGAGCTGGGTTCAGGCAGAACCCAAGAGGCTAATATGTAAACCACCCAAAAATATTAGAATGTTTTTCACTTGGACATTGTAGAAGATAGAGGTGGAAGGTAAAGATTTGGAAGGTAAAAACTCTCTTTGCTGATTTATTAGGACAGGAAATACCACCTTTTTCTTTATTCAAGTTTAATTGAGCATTTACTATGCTCATAGGCACTGTATGTACTAGGCATTAGGGATAGAGATGAATAAACACCATCCCTACCTTCACCAAGCTCACAGTCTAGTAAGAGAGACATGTAAATAACTGCAATACAACATGATAGTAATAAGAACACTTGTATATATTAAGTACTATAATAGTATAGAGAGTAAGCTGATTAAATATACTTGGGAGAAAGGTGAAAGGAGGCTTCACTAAAAGCAGTTACTACTTTAACTGAGACCTGAAGGAACTGAGCAGGTGAACAAGAGTAGGTAGAGGGCCCACGAGAGGATACAACATGTGCAGAGGTATGGAGGTGAGAGAGAGTAATATGGATTTGAGTTCTACAAATAGGTCAGTTGGCTGAAGCAGAGTGTGCAATGTGGAAAGGGACAAGCTTGGCTGCTGGACGGGAAGGCACGGTTCCACAGGAAGAGTCCTGGATGCCAATCTAGAACCAGGTCTTTATTTCTCCAGCTTTAGGGAAATTTGCATTTTAATAAAATCACTTTGGCACCACTAGAGGGGAGAGTCTGAAGGCTAACGGTTTTATTTTGAATCTAACAAGACTTTGTGATCAAGGCACTGATGAGAGGGAGAAAGAGAGGTAGAGCTGAAAAGAGGTTAAAAAGAAAAATCAACTAGTTTAATTTTTACTTAAATGAAGTTTGCAAAGAAGTAGCAAAGACTGAAATTTATACTCTGCATTCTGAATACTAGGAAATATTATCTTCTTTATCCAATAGGATCAAGGGTATTAAAAAAAACTGTTAAAGATGACATTACAGTCCATGTGGACAGAGAAGACTGTGTCAGATCATCGTGCTCAAACGCTGGACATATCATAAGTTCTCTTGGCTTCAGTCTCTTCACCTGTATTATGAAGGGTTCAGGGGTTCTTAACCTGACCCATAAATAGAAATATACTTCGATATAATTGGTTTCCTGTATAATCCTACCCATTTTACTTATTTAAGTTTTCAAACATTCTCTTATTCTGAGAAGCGGTTAATGGCACAAAAGAGGTTAAGAAGCCCTGCATGATCTTTAGGGTCATCTACAACTCTCAATTTATAGGATTTGGGACATTAAATACAGGAACTAAAAGAGAATGCTTTGGCTAAAGAAAATAAGAATGGGGCAGTAAGAAAAGCACAATACTATAGATCAAAAAATTTATATATAGGGCTTAATAGTCTGACCCAGATTCATATTATTTTGCTTTTCCATTTCCCCTTCTGTCCCTTTCTCCTTTTTTAGACTTAGGTTAAAAGACTTAGCTTTCTTCTTTTGTATCCTTAAGTCTACCTAAGTATGATTTATAGAAATATAACTTCATTAGTAAAGGCTATGAGAAAGTCTAGTATATAGGGAAGATTATATAATGAAGAGATTGGTAATATTAGCTATCAAATAAAGGAGATAAGAACAAAAAGCTTTATTGATAATATTCAGACACAAAAGTATCTGGGAAAGAAGCTAAGTAAATAATAAAAGTCAGAAACAATTGGTTTTTAAAAAGACATGTGTGAAACAAAAACTAGTTGTTACCATCTTACAATTAGAGGCATTTAATAGCAGGGATGCCTCTCCCCTATCTACATAATAGTACTCTATGACAAGAAACTCTAGTCTAAGCGATATGAATTTTTAAGATCACTGTCAGTATTTAAACTGAAAATGTATGTAGCTTCTTACAGGAAGGAAACCAAATGTTTTTAAAAAAATTAAGAACACAATACATGAGTTATAAAACATATTATCAAAGAAAATATGAATGAATGATGTAATTATTGCTTGATGGTATTCCCACTATATACTTTATTTTAATCAAACCATCAAAATAGTTCTGATTAATCAATGAAAGTCTCACTAAATCATTTGTTCAATGTTCAAAAGGACATCTTGCCCTGGTTTGAAAAACCATTGAAAGGTTACAATAATATCCTTTTAAATTACATATTCTTAGTATCTAAAAGCTTTCCTACTGTAGCCATGAGTCTACAATGAAGTAGTCAAACAATTATTCAATTGAACAACAATAGAAGACTTTCAAAGATGCCAAGTCAAATCTAGTCAGTTTTAAACACAGTTTCTATATAAAATTTGTAGGAGTTTTATCTCTTAGCAGCAATCTGAGGAAAAAAGCCTTTACTATCCTCAGTCTTTCTGAAGAAAAACTACAAAAACAATGCATTTGTCTTCTTTCCTTCATGGTACTTATCAACCTAACAAATCTGTATGTGAGGGCAGGTTCCTGTCTCTACAGGTAGCTCTTTCTTCCCACACCTCCCTAGCAATTTGCATATCTCTAAACCAGAGGCAGGGTTAACTGAGGCACCTAAGGCAACCTTTAGTGTGACTCTACTCCTCCCCTGACATGTGGTTTCTTTTAACAAGTCTCATACAAAGAATATTTAAGTGTTAAGCTTAAAAAGCAAAATCACTTTTTAGTAAAAGATTGTCTGCAGTCCCAAAATATTCCGATAATTTATGTGTTTCAGAAAAACTGTGTCAAGTGAACATTATAACTACTTATAAAAACATGTAGGTTTCTTCATTTTTAGTCCAGGCAATACAGGTTACATGTCCAGTGAATTAGAAAAAAAATTGGAATTTGAATTTCCAGAGGAACTAGCATAGTCAATTCAAGAAAGCAAAATATTTGCCAGGTGCGAGATATTTAGAAATCATTTGTAACCATACTTCATTATAAAACAAACTCTATTTTAAGCAAACCCACTAAACAGAACCCTAAATGTACACAAAACACAGGTCAGTAGGGACATTTAATTTTCAAAAGGATTTTTCAAAATATGACTTGCACACAACTTGAAGCAATACCTTGCTATGTTTAAAAATAAAACTCACATTTATGGTTTATTCTAAAACAGAGCATAAACTATTTTTCTAAAAAGGTATGAAGCTCTACTCACCTCAATTTCCAAAGCAGCAATATCCTGGTCATAATGACCCATCAGATTAGGGAAAAATGTCATGTTGTAGGCCATTTTCATACATCTGGGAACAGTAATTGGTTCGCAGGTGAAGAGACTGTGCCCTCTTATGAGGGGTAGAAAAATACACGGCAAGAAAAATGTAAACATTTCTGTTTTCTTCAAATTCCTGATTTTACCGCATGGCTTGGGTTAATCGCTCTTTTCATCTGCAGAAGACTCCAATCCAAAGATAAAATGTTCACATTCCTCACTTCATTATTTTACCATTTCAAAGGAAGCTGTTTTCCTGAAAATGAGTTCTGGGTCAATTACTGTAAAAATAACCAAGAGGGTGTATGAACATTTGCCATAAACTCAAATGTGAACGTGGAAGTGTAGAGTTACGAATTTCATCCTAGGTAATTAACACTGGAAAACGACAGAAAATTCTGTCCTAGAAAGACCCTACTCTCCCACTGCCTTGGCACAGAATATATCATTTGCTGGGGAAGCCTCATCTCTAGAGAACTGATGATGGAAGGTGTGTGCTGTATGGAACACAGGGTAAAAGGGGGACACTGGATGAGTGGGATGGAAAAAAAAGAAGTAATGCTCGTGGTTAGGAATAGTTAAAAAGGATTAACAGAATCATAAAAAGTTAAGGGCCCCTGTGGAAAATCTGACTACGCACAAAAAAACCGAGGCCCAGGGAAATTCCTTAAGATTAAAGAGTTCTTGAACTTTGTGGCAGTGTTTTGGGGATATACTTTTCCTGTTTTTCAAAAGGCCAATGAGAGGGAGACTTTTAGGATTCCTCCTGCGGAGGAGCAAACTTGTTTACACGGGCTGGTGGCGATGCCGTCGAAAAGAAAAAGGAGCAAATCTGTCCCTGGAGGGCCACGGCGGTCCTCGGGGGACGGGGTCTGTCGGGTCCGAATTACCAGCCCCCCCCTCCCCCCGACACACGCGGATGCCCCGGGCACCTGCCGCAGGCCTGGGCCGGGCCGCAGCTCCCCGGCCTGCTCCG